ATGTTTTAAAAGCACAGAAAGGCAGCAAAGCTAGAGGTAATGCAGTAAGCCACAAGACCATGGACACTGCTCACACACTTACAGAGTTCAAGGACTTCTCTAAGTGACCATCAGGTTCCCTAATTCTCTAGAAGTGAGGGAGGAGGTTAGAGTGTATCAAACTGGCTGGGGAAGTGGGCAAGACCTGTTGATCACAAGAGTTCCAGGACACATGGGCAGAGCAGTTCTCAAAGTCCTGCATGTGGAACCAATCAGAGTGCTTGCTTCAATTCTTCTCACAGAACCCAAGCAGGTTTCTGATAGGACGGCCTAGATGTGACCTCAGCCCAAGGAGTGGATACCAGAGATGGCTGTCATTGAGCTCCTGGTCACTGTGATCTTTCACAGTGGCCTCCTCTCATTCTGGTCCTTTTTTTTTTTTTTTTTTACTTTTAATGGGCACTAACTGGCTCTGCAGAGCATGTTTCTTTTCATACTTTTAATAAATGTAAGACCTCATCACTTTTCACACTTGTCTGGACTGATTCTTTGTTCAATTCTCAACCTGAAACTTGTGAGGTCTTCCTGTCTCAATCTCCTGAATGCTGGGCTCACCAGCGTTATGAGCCACCATGCCTGGCCTTATATCTTGTCTCTCTCCCCACTGTTATATGTATATGTAGAAAGACAGAGACTTTATGTGTCCTTTATATTTTTAATTCATTTTTACCCAAAAATGGAATTATACTGTATATATTGAAATTTGACCCTTTTTAATTTAACATTTCTTAGAAACATCTCCCTAACAGTATATAGACACTAGCCTCTGTCTTTCTTACATGGTCCCTAGAGGGCTGTTCCATACTTCTTTATCCATTCCATTGTGGTTTCCAGTAATTCTTCGTCACAGGTTAATATCATGTAATCACTTTTTTTCCTTTTTGCAGTGGTGTTGGGGATAGAACTGAGGGCTTCACACATGTTGGCAAGCATTCTGCCAGTGAGGTACATCCCTAGCCCGTTTATTAAATTTTGAGACAAGTCCGTTCCATTGGCCAGACTGGTCTTAAACTTTTAATCCTCCTCCCTTAGCCTCCATAATAGTTGAGATTACAGGTGTGCACTACCATGCTGGTTTGGGTAAACATTTTTGGGCATGTGTGTGTGAGATGCTGGGGATTGATCCCAGGGCCTTTGCACCAAGCTATATCCCCAGACCATTTATTATTTGTTTATTTAGATTCAGGATCTTGCCAAGTTACTAAATTGCCCTGGCTGAGCTCAAATTTGCCATCTTACTGCCTCAGCCTCCCAGAGTGCTGGGATTACAGACATGCACTACTATGCCCAGTTTATGTAAACATTCTCATTTACACACCTTTGCACAGATGTGTGAGACTTTCTGTTGGATAAAATCTTCAAAGCAGAGCAACATTGAAAGTTATGTTTATTACTTTTTAGAGATACTGCCAAATTGTCCTAAAGTCCATATTAGTTGTCACCAACATTAAAAGTAAGTGAGCTGGGGCTGGGGATTTAGCTCAGTGGTTCCAATGCCTGCCTCGAAAGCCCAAGGTCCTCAGTTCAATCCCCGGTTCCAAAAAGAAAAAAAAAAGTTAGTGAGCTTATCTTTTTGCCTATGTCCCACATATCTGAGATAAGGTCTCTCTATGTAGTTTAGGCTGGCCTAGCCTGAACTACATAGAGACATACTGTCAAAAAAAGAAAAAAAAAAGCAAGAAAGAAAAAGAAAAGATAGGATAAGATAGGCTATACCAAACACTTAACCATGATTCACTAGAGGGCAAAGTACAGGTTTCAAGAGGTGTGTGTGTGTGTGTGATGTGCAATGAAATCAACTAATGAAAAAGAATTAGTAATGAATGAATCATGCAATCAAAAATGAAAAACTCAGAACTTACCAACACTACAGCATTGAGCATAGGGTAATCTGGAAAGTTCTCAGCCATTATTTGCTGATTATAATCATCACCTTCACATAGTTTGCTTCTGGAAGCTGTTAAGCTGAAGCCCACAGGAACCTTTGTGTGAATTTCTTTTTAAAAAATTTCTTCAAATTATAAATAATAAATTATCCTTCAGTGGCCTTTTTTTTTTTCTTTTTTCTCCCTCTCAGGCTGTTACTTTATTTATTTATTTATTTATTTATTTTTGGTACCAGGGATTGAACTCGGGTCCTTGCGCTTGCACAGCAGGTGGCAAAACCACTGAGCGAAATCCCTGGCCTATTCATTTTTAAAATAATAAAACCAGTCCATCACAAGAGGTTAAGACTAGGTGGTCTGGCTTTTGGCTCCCTCTTGAACCTCATCTCTCTCTCTTCCCCAGAGACTTCTGTCTTTTCTCAAAGACCTCAGTCATTTGCACCTCAGGACCTTTGCATATATGGCAGTTTTCTCTGCCTAGAATGCTCTTCTGTCCAATTTTTATTTATCCTTCAGGTGTCTGCTTAAGTGTTTAGACTTTCCTTGACCAGGGTATCCCAATGGTACCCTGCAATTCTCAGGATTACCCTCTCCCTTGGCATCCTGCTATTTTTCTGGGATAACATGAACATCACAATTGATGATGGTCTATTTCTGTTTCCTGCATCCAACTGACATTTGGCTCATCACATGGTTCATAGGTCTGTCCCCAGGTCCTGGTGCACCTGGGCCACCCACTAAACATCTGCTCAGTGCTGGAATCCCCACTGCCTCTCCAGCATGCCCTGGCTCAGTGCACAAGAGGGCTTTGAACATAGAACTGCAAATGCGCAACGGGTGCTCTGTGGGGACAGGGTCTCCTCAGACCCCAGGGAAGGAACACCAGGCCTGGGTGTGGGCAAGCTGACTCCTCCTCCCCAGCATGACTCTGCCCCTGCCACCCTTCACAAGAACCCAAGGGCCTCATGGTGCCAGTGGAGATTGGGTGGGCAGCTGCTTCCAGCCCAGGACAGATTCCATCCTACTTTTTCTGATGGGGGCGAGTGAAGTTGGTTTGAAGAAAATGTCAGGGTATAAAAACTGTAGCGATTCAATCCTGCTTGCTGCCATTTGAAAGGAATGAAAGTGGGATGAACCAAAAAAACCCCAAAAGCAAAAGCAAAACAAAAACATCCTACTGTTTTAGAATCTGCTTCAGAAACAATAACCTCATTGTTTTCTGTGTCATAATAAAATGAAGGACTCGCCCTAGCTTTCTTCTTCAGGGACAGGTCCACAGAGGGCCTGGTCTCTGGGTAACACTTTTGCAGCTTCCAGAAAGTACTTCTCATTTCCAGAGCACATGCAGTAGGTAAGGTAGGGGAGGGCAAAGAAGGACCTCAGGTACACCGGGGAGACGGGGCTGAAAGTCCATTTGAGTGGGAAAGAATTAGGTCAGCACCCACCAGAGATATTTCCACAGTCCCCAGATCTTGTCACCTGCTTCAAGCCCTCCAGGCCTTAAAATAAATGTAACCACTCCATCATTGTGGCAGGGGAATCATGACCACCCAAAGACATTCCATATCCTAATCTTTAGAGCCTGCAAATTTTACCTTATAAAGAAAGAGTCTTTGGAGATGAAATCAAGTGAATAAAAAAGATTCTTGACTTGGGGGATCACTCTGGATGACCCTAATCCAACCACCAAGTATCCTTATAAAATAGGCTTATCCACACAGATTTGATACATACAGAAGTGGAGGGGCAATATGACCTTGGCGACAGGAGTGGTGAGAAAGCCAACAGCCACTAATAGAAGCTGGAGGATTCTCCCCTAGGGCCTCCAGAGGGGAGATGGCGCTGAGGACAACCTGATTTGGGCTCTACGGAACTGACTGCAAACAGCTGGTCCCCTGATCTGTGAATACATTACTGTTAATTCTAAGCCACCGAGTTTGTAGTAACTTGACACAGCAGCCGCAGGACGCTAATGCACTATGTGGCCCGTGTGACCTGGCCCCTGCCCATGCCACGGCCAACCTCCCACTCCCCCTGCTCCAGCCCCACCAGGGACCTGCTTGCTGTTCCTCAAGCTCCATGGCTTCCTGCAGCCTCGAGGCCCTCGAACTAAGTCTCCCAGACCTTCCCAAGGGTGGCCCCCAACTCAGGTTTCAGGTGTCTGCACATGTCACCTCCTTGGATAGGTCTTCCATGACAACCCATCTACAAATCTCCTTCTGGTCACTCGCAGTCACATCCCTCTGTTACTCCCAGCATTTGTCAGCATCTGAAGTTATTTTTCCTCCCTGGTTTATGACTTGTCACTCCCATAGAAAGGGGGAACCACGAAGGCCTTCTTTAACTCATTCCTTGCTGTCTTGCAGGGCCTGGGAGAGACCTGACATATAGGAGGTGCTGGGCGAACATGGGATGAAGAATAAATACATGAAATATCTGTGCAAACATCTGCATGTGCACACACGTGCATGAGTTTTAGTGCAGGTGGAGCGATGAAACCATAGGCCCGGCATCACCTCCCATCTTCTGATGGGCTCCCTTTGCAGAATGCCAGCAGCTTTCTATGTAATATTTGATTTCTTCCCCGCCTTAGCTCTGCAGACCCGTGTATGGCAGGCGAGGCGACGCTCACCCATCTCCTAAGTTCCTATATTTAGAGTGAACCTTGCCGCAACTGCCCTAAAAGGACGTTCCCTTCTTCCGCGTGCCCAGGTTATCTAGATCCTTCCTAGTACTCGGGCTGGTGCAGGAGACGCCAGCTTTATGTCCTGGGAGGCTCAGGGGTTCTTCCACGGGCGCGTAGTGCCGGGGCCTCGCCAGGCAAGAGAAGTCCACGCAGGCAGCTGAGGCACCCACAACAGAGGGCGCGGAGGCGCACAGCCAAAGAGCTAGGGGAAAGGCGCGGCCGCCCAGGTTGCTGGTGGCTGAGCCCTCTCGCTGACCCTGATCTCACCTTCCCCTCGTGAGAAGCAGCTGCGGCTGCTGGGAACCCGGGAAGGCTGACGGCCTGCGGAGAGGACAGGGTTAAAGGGGCGGCGCTCACGGCGGGGCGGGGCCGGGCCGGCCGCACCTGGCGCTCCAGCTCCCAGGCGGACGCCTTGCACAGTGCTCGCAGCGGGAGCCGGAGCCCCGGGAGCCCGAACCCACTGCGGGAGGGCGGCAACACGGCCGGCAACACGGCCGGAGCCACCATGGCCGAGTTCCCGTCGAAAGTGAGCACGCGGACCAGCAGCCCGGCGCCGGGTGCCGGTGCCTCGGCGTCTGTGCTGCGCCCGGACCTGGGCTTCGTGCGCTCCAGCTTCGGGGTGCTCATGCTGCTGCAGCTGGTGAGCGCTCTCGGGGCGCTGGCTGGGGTGGGGTTGGGATCCCGTCTTTGTCTGGGGTTGCGGGGAAGACTCCGGACCGTCGTCCCCTCTTCGCGTCCAGCACCTCCCCAACCTTACTTAACCCGGGGCGCTTCCAGGATGGATACCCCGCCATCTCCCTCGAACCTTCTCACCACGGGGCGGCCCCATTGCCACCCCTGCTAGTACAAGCACTGGGCACGCGTGATCGGGGTGCCCGGGTCCAGCACCCACCATCGCTGCCCCGAGTGGTCACCAGGGCCACACAGAAGCGCCTACCTGAGCTGCAAATCCCTGCGCCCGGCTCTGTCCTTATCTGTCTCCTCCTTCCCTGCCCCCTCTGGGCCAGAACAATCTCCAGCCCTCCAGGGGACCCAGGCCAAGGCAAAGTCCACGCTCGGCCCCCTCCTGCCCAGCTCCAGCGGTTCCGCGCAGCCGCGTTCCGGAGCTCTCCGGTCCCAACTGGAGCTAACACCGCGTCTGGCATACGCGCCCGGGCACAGCCCCGAGGGCCCCCGCGCGGCGGGCCCTCTGGCTCCCTCTGGGTGACCTGCCGGGTGCCAGCCGGTTTGGCCGGCCCCGCGGGGCTAGCGATATCGCACTCTGAGCCGAGGAAGGATTTGTGGGAAGCCAGAGGCGAGACTCCCACGGTTCCCAGATTCTGCGAACTCTGGCGGAGGCCACCGAAGGTTTGGAACGCCCCTCCACCTCCACCACCTGCTTCGGGTCTGGGCGCTTTCCGGTTTCTTCCTGTGGCACCCTCTGTGTGTCCCCCCACCCCCACCTGCTGAAGGCCTGGTCCATCTTCAGAGCGTTAGGGTGGACTTGGAGATGGGCTTGGATCCAGTTTCCATTACCGTCCAGCGAGTGGGCCTTGCCCGTCGCCCCCCTCACTGCTGGGTCCTGGCGAGGCTGCCAGGCCCAGGCTGGAGAGCTGGGTGGTCACCGCGGTGCCAAACTCGGCTGAGATCAGGCGTTCCTCCCCACCCTTGCAGGGAAGCGCCCACCTCCACCCCCATCCATCCTTGGGTTCCTCCCCTTTGCGGCCTCCTCCCCCACCCTAGCCACGAATCTCCTGGAGGGTTTGTTTAAAATGCAGATTTTAGACTCCACCCTGGAAAAAAATGTGGAATTATTATTTTAATCTCAGGAAGCTGCAGCCAGAGATCTACATATTTTAACATATTTAACTCTTGTCCTAGAGTGGGGCTTTTTTTGCTTTGTTTTTTGTTTTTGTTTTTTGGTGAGATTCTCCGTCCTCTGTGCGCTGGTGACACCCTCCTCCGGGACTAATTTAAATCTGCTGATGGGTGCTGGGGCTACAGCTCAGTGGTAGAGCACCAGCCCGGCAAGGGGAAGTCTTGGTGTCCCTCTTTCCCACCCCAAGGCAAAAAACAAAACCCTGCAGGGGCAGGTAGGGAGTAGCTACTGACCTGGCCGCTGCTGCGCTTCTGAGTGCTGGCCTCTGGTCCTCAGTAAGATGCGTCTCTTGGGCAGATAGATTCCTGCCCTGCAGGGAGGAGCCAGGTGGTTTAGGAAACCCGGCCAGGAGGATTTCAAGCCTGCATTGAGGAAGGCTTCTTGGAGGAGGTGGCTGACTCTGAGGCAGAGGCAGAGGCAGGGAAAAGGACTAAGGGCAGGGCACCACGTTGAGCCTAGGCTTGGAGATGGGAAGGCGGGGGGAAGACGGATGAGTAGCCTGCACTTGGGGAAGCTAGAGCTGAAGAGCTCGTTCAGGTTCGTTGTGTGCATAAGCCCGGGGTCCTGTGCACCTCTGCCAGCCTGGGATTGGTTCTGTTGGCAGCTAGGGGTGGGTTAAGGTTGGGAATGAGGATGAGGATGGGTGGCTGTGAGGGTCCCCGATCCTTTTAGCCCTTGGGGTTCGGCTGAAAAACCAGGATCCCAATAAGGGAAGGAAAGGGACTGGAATAAGGGTACTGCTGTGATTTGTAGGGACCTCGGTAGCTTTCTCCAGAGGAGGCTTATATCCATTTTGGGGCTTCCTCGAGGGCTCAGCCCTGCCCTGAGCATCTGGGTCTCCTCACCCAGATGTAGGCATTGAGGTCAGCTCCAGCTCCTTTGGTGGAGCTTGCGGTTGGGTCATGGGTGGCTCCGAGACTCGGTGTGCCATACAAGTGGCTTCCTTTGCCCCCACCCCGGGTCTGGCTCCCCACAGTCTGGAAACAGAACCTCAGAGCCTTCACAACTCTGTGCTGGAGAAGCTGCTTCCTGAGCTGTTTCTGGGGCAATGGGTGGTTCCATTGGGTCTGAGATGGGGCTCACCCAACACACTCCTCCCTCTGTCTGGAAGGTAGGACAGCTGTGTTCAGAGGAGGCTCCAGGCCCCCTTCCCAAGGGCTTTGTGTCTTCTTCTCCATTTCACAGGTGAGGAAACCGAGGCTCAGAGGTAGTTTTTTTTTTTAAGACAGGGTCTCACTTTGTAGCTCAGGCTGGTCTGGCCTGGAACTCATAGCAATCCTCCTGCCTCAGCCTCCTGAGCACTGGGATTACAGGCATGGGCCATCACGCTGGGCTCAGAGGTAGGTAGTTCTTTGCTCAAGGTCTCACTACTGTCCTGCACAGGGGTGTTCTGGAGCGAGTGGTAGAGACCCCAGGCCCAGTGCCTGCCCTCCAGGGATCAGGGAAGGCTGCATGGAGGAGGCAGTAAATGAGAGGACACAGCTCCTTCTACATCAGATCCCTTGAACTTGCCATGGAGCCCAAGTGGGGCTCAAACTTGTGATTATTGTGCCTCAGCCTCCAGAGTGCTGGGATTACTGATGTGCACCACCCACCCCGCCTAGCTTTTTTGGTACAAGTTGCTTTCTTCACACCCCATGCATCTGAGTTCTCTTCCTGACAGAACAGCCCTGGCTTCTCCTTTTTAACCAAGGTAGAGTATTCCACAGGGTCACTGTAGCCCCAGCTCATTTAGCCCATTCTTGATTTTTCTAGAGGACTCAGGTTTTTTATTTTTTCATGTTTCTGGGGTGGAACCCAGGTCCTCACACATGCTAGGGGAGTGTTTGCTCTACCACTGAGCTACATCCCCAGCTCTGTTTTGTTTTGAGATAAGGTCTCACAAAGTTGCTCAGGCTGACCTCAAACTTGAGATCCTCCTGCCTCACCCTCCGTAGTAGCTGTGAATATAGGCAATGTTCTGCACCTAGTTCTCCATTGTGTTGTTAAAAATTGTTCTGTTCTTTGAAAAAATTATATACATGAATAGCAAAATATATGTCCAATTGTCTCAAATGGTAATCATTAAAATGTGGTCTTTCTCATCCCAGCTGCCCTCCACCCAGGTGCCCACATTGTGTGGCAGGGTCAAAGTGTGCATATTGCTACGCAAAACCTCACCTCACCTAAAAACATATACACAGGGCACTTGTGCATGTAGCAAGGCGTTTGTGCACACACCAGGCCTCGCTTTCCCCATGACGTCCCACTAAGAGGGTCCTAGGTCAGCACACTGTGCTGTGTGCATACAGTTTTTTGTTTCATACTTTATTTCCATAATTTATAACTTATTTACTTCTTCCAGTGCTGGGGATTGAACCCAACACCTTTGTACTGAGCTACATCCCCAGAACTTTAAAATTTTATTTTTATTTTGAGATAGTGTCTTACTAACTCGCTAAATTGACCAGGCTGGGCTGCAACTCAAAATCTTCCTGCATCAGCTTCCCAGAGTGTTGGGATTACAGGCATGTGCCACTAGGCCTGGCCAAAATTTTTTAAAAAATCTTTTTAAGTCTGTTTTTATTTTGTGGTGCTGGGGATTAAAACTGGGGTTTGGTGCATTTTAGGCAAGCGCTCTACCACTGAGCTACAGCCTTGGCCTCCCATTCATTTATTCATTCACGGCCTCCCATTCATTTATTCATTCATTTATTTATTTAGACACAGTCTCACTCTGTAATTCAGGCTGCTCTTGAACTCACTATGTTGAGCCTTGAACTTGTGATCCTCCTGCCTCTACCTTCCACAGCCAGGCATACATCATCACGCCCAGCATCCTGCCTTAATATTTTTAATAGGTTTCCAATGTTTGAGAATAAAACAAAGTGGAGGGCCAGGGATTTAGCTCAGTGGTTTCGCTGCCTGCTGTGCAAGTGCAAGGACCTGAGTTCGATCCCCGGTATCAAAAAAAAAACCAAAAAACAAAGTGGAGAAGAGCAAAGGAAAAAAATCTCTGTTCCCCTTTTGGTTTGAGCTGAGGACTTTAAGCTTATTCTGTTTTCCGTATAGCATTTAAAGACTTAATCTAAGGCAATATATGTAAACATGGTGTCCAGGCCTACTTTTCCTCATTTTACCGCAGAGGTAGTTTGTCCTCTGCATATTTCCTTGTTCGTGTAAACATGTGTCTTTTTTCTTGGTGCAGGGAGTGCTATTGCTTCCTTTTATAACTTTTGTTTTGTTTTTTGAGATGGTGACCTGCTGTGTAGTCCAGGCTGTCCTCAAACTCACAATGCTCCTGCTGTCTCAGTCTCCCTACTGCTGGAATTACAGGTGGGCACCACCAGGCCTGGCCTTTTGTGTCTTAATATTCTATTGTGCAGTCGGGGTGTGCTCTGTGGCCAGTTCCTTTGTTGACAGACGCTTGGGTTTTCTATTCTCTTGCTGTTTTACACCCTGCTGCAAGGGATGAATGGCACTGATGTGTCTGCGCTCTGCGATACATTTCCAGAAGTGGGGCCACCTGGACAGGGTGCCTGTGCATTTGTGATTTGGACTGAGATTGCCAAATGTCCTCTGTAGAGGTCACAGGCCCTTGGGGCAGGCGCCTGTCCCCACAGCCTCTAGCGGGGTGATTTCACAGGCTTCTGGATGTGCAGTCCGACAGATTAGAAGGGCAGGTCAGTGTAGTATTATGTTTCTTACTGCTTAGGAGTGAGGTTGACCTTTAAAAAATGCTTCCAAGCCCGTTATATTTCCTGGTCTGTCTGTATTGTCCTGAGTTGTTGGTCTTTGACTTG